TACTGTCTCCTCCCACTAGAATGCAAAATCCCATGAGGGAAGGGGTTTTTGAGCAAATATTTAGTATATTAATAGCCTGCTGTTGCTAAATTTTCAGCGCTTGTTCACCTGTTTATTCTTCCAAGCAAACTGCATTATATTTTAAAATATTCTTTTACAGAAGTAATACATGCTTGTTGTGAAAAATGCAAATGTTACAGAAGTGCCTAGAATCTTCTCTCCGCCCTCCTCCTTGCAATCCTACCATCTCAAAGTAGCCCCTGTTAATACCTTGATGTGCTTTTTTTTTTTTTACTTCTCTCTGCACGTCCATATATATTCTTACTAAAATAATACAAGAATCAGAGTATGCATACATAAGATTCTGCCCCATGCTTCCCCGCCCCCCCGCCACTTAACATAGTCCTGTATGTCCATACATAGACGCCCATTGCACTGGATGCAGTCTGATTCATATACTCAGTCTTCTATAAAAAAGATTGATGTGGGGGCCCCTGGGTGGTTCAGTCAGTTAACTGGCTTCGGCTTAGGTCATGATTTTTCGGTTTGTGAGTTTGAGCCCCATGTCGGGCTCTGTGCTGACAGCTCAGAGCCTGGAGCCTGCTTTGGATTCCGTGTCTTCCCTGCCCTCTACCCCTCCCCTGCTCACACTCTCTCTCTCTGTCTCTCAATAATAAATAAAGGTTAAAGAATTTTTAAAAATAGATTGATGTCTTTAGGTTTAAATTTATTTTTTCTAGTACAGTCAGTGCATCAAGTGACCATCTTTGAACATCTGTCATATTACTTGTGATGGCATTTCTTTCCAGAATGGAATTGCTAGGTCCAAGGATCTATACATTTCACGTTTTTATAGATTACCCATTGTCCTCCCAAAAGGTTGTACCGATTTATACTCTCAAAAACACCATGAGTTCCTGTTTCCCTATGGCCACACCAACATGGGATAGCATCAGTTCTTAATTTTTTGTCAGTCTGATATTTTCCCCAGCTTTATTGAGGTCATACACTCTTGTTTTAACTGCCTCCTCTTTGCCCCATTGGTGAGGGAGGGGTTCCCACCCTTGGGTTAGGGGGATGGCCAAACATGGTACCTGACACTGGACAGGGAAGATTGACAGCAGTTTATTGGACACCTATCCTCACAGCTCAGGGAAGGACACCACAAGTCACACAGGACCATCCAGGTGTCCCACTCAGAAATACAGCGAACAACCAGAAGCTGTGCAGGACAGGCTTTGTTAGCAGCAGAGGGCGAGATGCGTCCATCATTCCTGTAGAGAACGTGATTGGCTTGTTTGAATGATTACACAGGCTAGCAGAGAACTCAAGCCTGCCACTCAGAGATAAGCCGAAACTGCGCCTGGTTGCTTTGATAAGGAGGCTTGTTTGGCAAGGGCAATGTTCACTTAGGCCATCTGAGGCGCTCCTGATTTTACCACCTGTGAAGTCACAAAATATTGAATCTACATTTCGACTCTTCTTGGTTAATTACGAGGGTCCTTTTTGGGTACTGATTTTTGAGTGACTTTCTGGCATATAGTCTAATGATTGCTTTCTCACTTAACAAACCCATGGACCAACATCATATACAATAATACTTAATTGTATTTCCTTGAGTTGTATTTAAGAGTTTTCCCCCATGAATTGACAAGTATTGATTGGTTTGCAGTTTCCCTTTTTATGCTATCTTTATTTGGAATTGGTGTAAGGATAATTATAGCTTCATAAAATGCAATCGTTTTCTAACTTCTCTGGGGTATAATACAGATTTCTAGGGTAAGGATTATCTGTTTGCTGAAAGTTTGAGAGAATTCTTCCATTTAACCACCTGAGCCTAGAGCCTTTTTTGGACATATGTCTTAGATAATGTTTTAAGCATCTTTCTTATTTTTGTAATTTTATTTCTCAGAAAATGGTCCACTTTATCAAGGTTTTCATATGTATTAGAGCAGAGTCAGTTATGGTATTCCCTTGTTTTCCTGTTGCTCTTCTTAAATTTCAAAACCACAGGGGCGCCTGGGTGGCTTAGTCGGTTAAGCGTCTGACTTCGGCTCAGGTCATGATCTCACGGTTGCTGGGTTCAAGCCTCGTGTCGGGCTCTGTGCTGACAGCTAGTTCAGAGCCTGGAGTCTGCTTCGGATTCTGTGTCTCCCTCACTCTCTGACCCTACCCGGCTCACGCTGTTTCTCTCTCTCTCAGAAATAAATAAAACATTTTTAAAAATTTAAAAAAGAAACTTTTAAATAAAAAAATACAAAACCACATTCTCTATGATATAGGAACAGAAAACTAAAAAGAGACTAAGGCTGAGATCAAGACACAGGTAGGGTAGAAACTGGCTAAAATCAAAGAGAGATAAAACAAGCAGAATTAAATATCTTATTGGAGAAAACAAAGAGTTTTCTTTGACCTTGACTCTGAAGAAAATTAAATCCATGATGGTGATGAAAACATGAGACACTCTCCCAGGATGCAGAGAAAAAGAAAAAAGATTTCATTGACAGTGGTGATCCAGTGTGATCATTTTAGGGGAGAGGAATAAAACCCACAGCAACCCTGCTCACAGAATGGACTGTCCATTAGAACATTAGAAGAACAGGGGTGCCTGGGTGGCTCAGTCCGTTGAGTGACCTGCTTCAGCTCAGGTCATGATCTCACAGTTCATGGGTTTAAGCCCCGTGTCGGGCTCTGTGCTGACAGCTAGCTCAGAGCCTGGAGCCTACCTCAGATTCTGTGTCTCCCTCTCTCTCTAACCCTCCCCTGCTCACACTGTCTCTCTTTCTATCTCAGGAAAAAAAAAAAAAAAAACATTAAAAAAAAAGAACATTAGAAGAAAACTTTTCTAAGCTGAAAGGATGACTTCTTTTCTGGAAAATTAATAGACTTGTACTTGAAAAATATTTGACTTTTAAGGATGAAGAAAATCCGAACAAGCACCAGGCAAATTGCTCACCTAACACAGATCAGACCGGTTTTGCTACCCTTTTTTTTTTTTTTTTTAATATTTTTATTTATTTCTAGGGGAGAGAGAGAGAGACAGCGTGAGCAGGGGAGGGCCAGAGAGAGAGGGAGACACAGACTCAAATAGGCTCCAGGCTCTGAGCTGGCAGTCAGCACAGAGCCCGACGCGGGGCTCGAACCCACGAACCGCGAGATCATGACCTAAGCGAAAGTCGGACGCTCAACCGACTAAGCCTTCCAGGCGCCCCACCCTTTTTTTTTTTTTTTTTTGAGGGGGGGAGGGGATAGATATAATTGACATATTAACATTATGTTACTTTCAGGTGTACTTGCTACCATCTTAAGACCCAAAGACAATGGGATAAGGACAAAAGAGTCTTGAGGGGTAAAGTTGGAGACTCAAGAATTCCATTAGCAGTCAAGCCACAAGGTTAGTGTGTAAAGACAGTAGAAAGGCATTCTCACCTAGGGCAAAGGCTTGGGAAAAAAAGATTCAAGGGTCCTCCCTGAAATCACCAGTAAAATGCGAGATGGGTCCAAATGAGAAATAGAAAAATTAGAGCATAAAAAACTGGCAGTGACGTTGATACCAATTAAACAAAGAGTTGGCAAGAGCCTCTTTTTCAAGAGGATTTTGCGGCTTGAAAAAAAGTAAACAAGACTGGGTCTATCATCCTGGATTAAAGGGACAGATCTAAGTAGGTGTGAGGGCAAGAGGCCTAGAGATGGAAAGGCACATTAAAGTTTTCATCACATAAAGAGGAATATAAAAATGAATAATTTGTCATTGACTTTAATATTTGTGAGATAAAAACTGTATTTTTACTTGATGAACTCAAAGGCAACCACCAGGAGAATTTAGATCAGAATTTCTATCTTGCAGAACAACATAGAAGATAAAAGCAACTGTGAAAAAATCCAGAAAACAAGAAATAGCAAGAGATATATACTATAAAATAGGATGATTAATGACTAAACAAATCAGCTATAACGGCACGGATATAATGGGTTAAATCCCAGCTAGAGTGGAGGCGTCGCAGTTTTTAGGACAGACCCTTTGTATCTCCAGGCTTTTACTAACGCTGAACCCCAGGCCTGGGTTGCTTCCCGCCGTATTCGCCCTATTCAAGGCTAAGACTTCCAGTCCAGGCCGGCTTCCTCCCGGCAGTCCTCCAGGACCAAATCTTGGCGCAGAACCCAGCGCGCGAAGCTGATACTCCGGGTGAGGGACGAAGTCCTCACCTCACTCCCTCTCACCCCCGGAAGCGGCGTGGGGGGTCGGGCCGGACCTCGTGCCAGGTGTGGAACACAGAGTGACAGCATTCGCACCCTGCAGGATTGTAATGTAAATCTTTTCCCTCGTCGCCTCGCTTTTCCTTCGCGGACAGTGAGCCTCCGCGAACAGCAAGTTTCAAACGGGCTCCGTTTGCTGCTAGACGTAGTCACGGCCCCTCAAAGCCTCCCACATGCCAGCCTGCGGCCCGCGCGGGCGCGCGGATCTACCCTCGGCGTGTCGGATCACCTGGGACAACTCACCCCGCCCCCACCTCGCAGACTTGCAGTCTCAAGGTGTCCGCTGGGAGGCCGCGTCCGGAAGAGCAGGAGTGGGAGAGGAATGGGCCTGGGGGTCGGCGTCCGGAGCCCCTTCCCCAAACTGGAGGGGCTGCTCCCAGTCGCCAAAGATGTGGTGCAGGGCGCGGTCCCACCGCGTTTGTTACAGATCGGAGCCTGGCGGCTGAGCCCAAGAGGCTTGGGGGGTGACAGGCGACGAGCAGAGGGGCTCGGGATCGACTTACGCAGCCTTGGAGAGGGGGAGATTGAGGGGTCCCACGCGCGAACCCGGACGCAGCTACAAAGGGGTTAAAGCATTGCGCCCCGCCCCAGCCTGGGGATTGGCGGCCCCGGGGGGCGTGGCCGGAGGGCGGGCCCGCGTTTGCCGCAGCCGCGGGTGGGCGGGGCCCGGGCGGGGAGCGGGAGGGGCGCGGAGCGGAGCCGGGCCCGCGCCGCGCGCCCCGCCGGGCGGGCTTCGGGCTGCGCCAGCGAGCCGGGCCGGTGGCGTCCGCTCCGAGGACCCCGCGCTGGACCCTGAGGCTGCGAGTAAGTGAGGCCAGCCCACCGCGGCACCCCTCCCGGCTCCGACCTATCGCCGCACCCGCTGCACCTAGATGCTCGTCCGGCTGGACCCGGAGCTGGGGAGGGGGCGCGTCCCGCTACTGGGGTCCCGGGGCGGGGGAGGGGAGTGGAGATAAGGCCGATGATGTCATGGATGCTTCACCAGGCCTGGGGGGAGGTGGCGGCCGGAGGGGGTGCGGCCCGGATTATGTCACCTCTTCCCTCTGCGCCCCGCCCCCCGGGGCCACACGCGCTGGTAGGGAGCAAGGGGAGGTGCGAGAGGGATTTCCTGCACCACAGAGACCCTAAGGCACCTCTTCGGGACAGCCTGTGGCCGGGGTCTCTCTGCTGGCGCTGCGGGCCGTGGACTGCTGGTGAATGGCGAACACCCCCACTCCCCTGCGCGGAAGCTCGTGTGTGCGCGCGTGTGTGTGCTGGGGTGGGGGGGGGGCGCTGTCAGCCCCCTCAGCCCTTAAACACCAGCTTCACCAGAGCCAGGATCTAGGGGATGGTTTCCTTCCCCCGTTTATGGCAAGGGAAGGTGGATCTCCACTCACACATCCCAAAGAAGTTCTGAAGACCTCTGCACCCCAAAACCCCTACAGTGCCCCTAGTCCCCTTTCTCCTTCAGTCCTTCCCAGAAGCCCTTCCTGATTTGTCTGTCTGAATTCATTGCCTCTTTGCATTGCTCATAACAAGCATTCCCATATGCATTCTCCTGCATCTCCTCAGGGTCAGGGCCCAGAGACCCCCACGACTCTGCCATCTGTGCCCCGAGGCACCCACAGGCTAGCCCCCGGGTAAGCCTCAGAGTGAAATCTCCTTAGAGTAGCCTGAACCAAGTGCTCCAAGGCCCCTGCTCCCCAGGGGCAATCAGGGATGCTGTCCTGAGAGGCAGCATTTGGATTGGTCCTTGAAGGATGCAGGGTGGGCACAGAGAGCTGAAAGAGATTCTGTGTGGAGTGAAGAGGGGCTCAGGTTAGGGGAAATAGGATGGGCAGCAGGAGATGCCTTGGAGGGCCTGCTGCAAGCTCTGCTCTGGTTCTGGGGACTGAGAGAAATGCCAGGCCTTTTACCCATAATACATTTACTTCTTAAGATTCCTGTAAGGTAGGTGTGAAAACCCGAGGTGAAATAACCTGCATGCCTTCATCCCTAATCAGTTCAGCTGGGATTTACACTTGAGCTGATGCCTCCAGAACTCCTTCGACTGTTCTTGGTGCTGCTTTTGGAAGAATCTAGGCAGAGTGAGGACAAGATCAGCTTTGCCCTTTAGAAAGAGTCCTCTGGCAGCTGTCTGTGGGAGGGAGTGCAGGGGGGAAGAGGCCAGTGAGGAGCCCCCAGCAAGGGTGCTGGCAAGGGGGGCTACTGAAAGCTCTAGAGGGTCAATGGGCTGGTGCAGGAGACTCTGAGACCATAAGAGAACGGTGGGTAGCTTTGGGAAGGACATAGATAGGAAGGGGTTGAGTGGTCACTGGGTTGGAGGGACCTGCCCATGTAAACCCCAGATACAGTTCATTTGGCCCCTTTGTGACCATCAGCACTGTGCATAGTGTCCCAGGCACTGAAGGTTGATGGCACAGAGAGAGAAGCAGACCTGGGCAACAGGCGGTCATCCCAGGTTGTCAAGCTGATGCCGTGAGGCTGCCTACGCAGACCACACTCAGCTACCTGGGCCAGTTCAGAACCCTGACCTCTACGCGAAGCTGAAAACCTTCCCCTGGGCTCAGTTTCTGCTCATCAGGAAAACGTATGCCCCTCTTTGTCCTGCTAGCTCCCTGCTGAGGTTTTAAGAAAAGAAGCTGCAGCAGCCCAAACTTGGGAGAGGCAAGGGGCAGGGAGCGCTTGCAGGGGTTGATCATGACAGGTTAGAATTATAGCAAGACACTCTAGGGAACGAGGCCCCAGGGAAAGCTGCTGTGAGTTGACAATCAAGGATTCCCCAGGTAGAGCAGGAGATGGTCTCAGGAGACAGTCCTGGGAACACTTCATTTCCAACTAGGTCTTGGGGCTTTTGAGTTTGTGCGGAGACCACACACATTCCAGGGAAATAGTGGGGCAGAGTGGCATACAATCAGCCCCAACCTGTGGGCAGTTTCTTCTCTCCTGGATCTCAGGGAAGGTAGTGCTGCATGTTTGTACTGTGCTGAACAGCTCTTAAATCACCTTCCCAAACATTATCCTCTGTCACTGTCATGATCAACATGATCACTTCTGAAGTTTGCTCCTGCCCACATCCAGGCATCTGAGGTAGCCCCCTTGCCTAGATCTCTAATCTCACTATTGGCACCTTCCTTCACCATATCAACATACTCAGGTTTCTACCATGCCCTTAATTTAAAATTAGAAAAGAGCTTCTTAATCCCAAACCACCTTAAACTGCTGCCTTCTCTGGCCTTCTCTTTTAGCAGGGAACTCTCCCATCTTTCTCTCCAGACCTGTCTACTCCTATAGTCTGGCTTTGCTATACACCACTTTTCTGAAGCCATTCTCTCGTAGAGACCAGTGAGGTTTCCACCTGCCAAATCCAGGATACACTCTCCAATCCCAATTTTACCTGGCCCCGTTTTGCTACTGGGATGTGTTCCCACATTCTTGTAGCATACACCTCCCCTCCGCCCCCCTGCCTGGTTTGCAGGGCCTGCGTTCTTCTGGCCTGTCTTTCATCCACACTGACTCCCAGACTTCTGGGGCTTTGCCACCCTGGCTCAATGCTGGGCCCCACCCACACTACCCTGGAATGCTGACCACCCCAGTCTCTCTTTCCATCGAGTAGGCAGTAGGCGAGAGGGATCTTTCTCTGGTCCTTCCCAAAGTACCTGTTTCCCCAGTCTCCTCCTGCTTTGTTAAGGGTGTCACACCCACCCTGATGTGCCCGCTGGGATTCTTCCCTTGCCCCCACTGCCGAACCCCATCTCTGTGAAGTTTGTTTTGTCTTCCTCCCAACCCTGCCCAGGCGTTCCCACTGGTCTCAGACCTCAGGCCACTCAGCCTTCAGCCTTCTAGTCCCCAGCTGCTTCCTACACTGTACCCAAGGGTGTTGAAAAGGGGGTCATGCTTAGGGTAAGAGGGGGATTTTTGAGTTGAGGGGTAGCTGGGCGAGAGTATGTGGGGAGTGGGGGCAGAGCAGGGACTAGAGTGAGGCACGAGAGGCACCTAGGACACCACAGGTAGGAAGGCACTCACTCTCAGGGTCCTGCATTTGCTGATACTGCACTTAAATTACTCACTAGGTGCATCCCTGGCCTCACCCTAGTCTCAGCCCTGCCTGTGGGGACAGACTGGTTCTAGGGAGGAAGGTGGTAAAGCGCTGTTCTCCACCCCCCGGGGAGGGGGTAGATGCTGAGAGAATGGAATTTTACAAAGGCGGTGGGGACTGGCTTGGTGAACTTTCCAGACACTTAAAGTTGTAATTCCAAGTGTGGGGGCCAAAAGACTCCTGAAGGGCAAGATTTTTGTCAGGATCCCCTGGTCTGGGCCTGATAGGAAGGACACAGCATCAGAATGGGCATCTGGGTAGAAGACAGTCCGAGGGGCAATCAAGGGGCATGACGTGCCACCTTGGAGCCCTTCATCTTCATAGGATGGAGGGCTCCTTGCCTGGTTTCTCATGGGAGTAGAGGGTAAAAGCCTGAAGGGCGCCCCTGCCACCTCCGACAAACGTATTTGAGGGTCTACATCCACGGCTGGCACTGCCTGGTGCCTTTGCCCCGCTAGATTATGCGGATCTCTGGGGCAGGTGTTCCCCGGTGTGGATCTGAGGCAAAGGAACCAGGAAGCGGGGCCTCCCTGAGCACAGGTAACCCGAGGCCCTGTCGCCCAGCTTGCACTGCTCCCCCTGCCTTTGTGGGCTTGCCTTGGGGGAGGAGAGGGGCGCACGCTCACGGAAGGGCTCAGAGGACTTCGCGGTTCAAGGTCCATACGGAACGGGGGAGGGAGCAATCCAGGAAGTCTTCCCGGTGGCAGTGAATTCTTAGCGGGGGATTGGCGGCGCGGAATCCCCTGCGGGCGCAGCTGGGTGCAGAAGCCCCGCCCCTCCCCCCGCCCACCTGTGGGAAACGCAGGCCCGGAGGGAGGCACAGCCAGCGTCCGTAGCTGGCTGCACGTCGTCCTCTGCCCCGGCCTCAGCCAGCCCCGGGGCTTCTGCAGAGGTACTGACCGTGGGAAAGGGGCCCCTCGTGCGGCCGAGTTGGGGAGACCTCGGGAAGATCCCTTCGCCAGGCGCTCCCGTCGCTGTCCCCGGCCGTCCGCGGGGGCTGGGGCGTGCCCGAGGTGGAGCCCACAGGCGACCCACGGGCGCGCGGCGGCTGCAGCTCCCGCCCCCTCTCCCCCCTCCCCCCGCACCGAGAACCCCGTCCTCTCCCGCGCCCGCCGCCTCGGGGCGCCTGGCACGCGGCAGCTCCACGAGGTAGGTCCTTCATTCCTCCCATTTCGCAGAGGAGAAAACTACAGTCCGGGATGGCTCAGTCGGCCTGTCCAGAGTCGCGCAGCTGGTTCGGGCCGAGCCCCGACTGCGAGAGTGAGGCGCATGGCCCCTGCACACCGGGCCTCGGAGGGTCCCAGGCTTGAGGACCCGTCGGGCCCCCCACCCCTTTGGAAAGGCAAGGAGAGGAGCCTGCGCTGGTAGTGAGCCTCCACTTCTGCCCTTGACTGCAACACCCTAGGTTAGGGGGCTGGGAAGGATCCCCCACTCACAATATTTGGATAGGGGTGGGTTCTCTCCCTCTCTTAATTTCTGAGGTTCCCTGTTGTATCCAGGAATTATTGTACCCTTCCAACCCCATATCCCCAGCCCATGAGGTTGGGTGGGTGGTAAGGGCCCAGACCCACGGTAAAGAACGCCTGAGTTCTGAGGGCTGCAGTGAAGAACTAGGGCTCATGGAGGAGGTGAGGTTGAGGCAGGAGCTGAGGAGTGGGATGCAAAGCTGGGAGGGTATGTGCATGGTGCCCTGGGGCCTGGGCTTCATCGGGTAGGCACCAGGCACCCCATGACCAAGCTGTCCTCTTACCCGGGCCCCATTCCTTCACCCTGGGTGTCTGGGAACTCTCGTGCCCATTGTAGGGAAGGGGACACCGAAGGGTGGGGTGCCGGCGGTGCTGGGGCTGACTTGGCTGGGGGGGTGGGGGTGGGGGTGGCACTGACCTCTCTTTGCCTTCCCACCTGTGCCCGCAGTGCCCCCCTGGCTTAGTCATGGCGAAGCTGGAGACACTGCCTGTGCGCGCCGACCCAGGGCGGGATCCTCTCCTGGCCTTTGCCCCCCGGCCCTCTGAGCTCGGACCCCCAGACCCTCGCCTGGCCATGGGCAGTGTGGGCAGTGGGGTGGCCCACGCCCAGGAGTTCGCCATGAAGAGTGTGGGCACCCGCACAGGGGGTGGGGGCAGCCAGGGCAGCTTCCCCGGCCCCCGCAGCAGTGGTGGCGGGGCCAGCAGGGAGAGGCCAGGCCGCTACCCCTCAGAAGACAAGGCTCTCGCCAACTCCCTCTACCTCAACGGCGAGCTGCGGGGCAGTGACCACACTGATGTCTGTGGCAACGTGGTGGGCAGCAGCGGTGGCAGTAGCAGCAGCGGCGGCAGTGACAAGGCCCCACCACAGTATCGCGAGCCCAGCCATCCGCCTAAGCTCCTGGCCACCTCTGGCAAGCTAGACCAGGTCAGTCCCCAGGGCCTTTTTCTGGGAGATGGGAAGCAGTCCGGAGAGGAGGGTAAAGCGGCCGGAGGCGGGGTTGGGGGGGTGGCCAGAATGGAGGTTGGGCTGGGAGGCCATGGGGGGAGGGGAGCTGAGGGCCAAGTCTAGCTGGTCCAGGTCTCAGGGCAGAGACTTGGTTTGCAGGTGGGGACCCAGCTTCCAGGGACTCCCAGTGTGAAGATGAACTGGGGGCGGGGCTGAACATATCTCAGAGGGAAGAGGCTGGGGCCAGGGCTAAGGCCCCCTTCTGAGGCCCACTCCCCCTTGCTTGCTTTTACTCAGTGCTCAGAGCCGCTAGTTCGGCCTTCGGCCTTCAAGCCCGTTGTACCCAAGAACTTCCACTCCATGCAGAACTTGTGCCCTCCGCAAACCAATGGTACTCCTGAGGGGCGCCAGGGTCCTGGTGGTCTCAAGGGCGGACTGGACAAGTCTCGGACCATGACCCCGGCGGGCGGGGGTGGGGGCGGCCTCTCAGACTCAGGCCGGAACTCACTCACAAGCCTGCCCACCTACAGCTCCAGCTATAGCCAGCACCTGGCGCCCCTCAGTGCCTCCACCAGCCACATCAACCGCATCGGCACTGCCAGCTACGGTAGTGGCAGCGGTGGCAGCAGCGGCGGTGGCTCGGGCTATCAGGACCTGGCAACCTCCGACAGTGGGCGGGCCTCCAGCAAGAGTGGGTCGTCCTCCTCCATGGGGCGGCCAGGCCACCTGGGATCGGGGGAGGGCGGAGGTGGAGGCCTGCCCTTCGCGGCCTGCTCACCACCCTCGCCCAGTGCTCTGATCCAGGAGCTGGAGGAGCGGCTGTGGGAGAAGGAGCAGGAGGTGGCGGCCCTGCGGCGGAGCCTGGAGCAGAGCGAGGCCGCCGTGGCCCAGGTGCTGGAGGAGCGTCAGAAGGCGTGGGAGCGCGAGCTGGCCGAGCTGCGGCAGGGCTGCAGTGGGAAGCTGCAGCAGGTGGCGCGCCGCGCCCAGCGCGCCCAGCAGGGCCTACAGCTGCAGGTGCTGCGGCTGCAGCAGGACAAGAAGCAGCTGCAGGAGGAGGCAGCGCGGCTGATGCGGCAGCGGGAAGAGCTTGAGGACAAGGTGGCCGCCTGCCAGAAGGAGCAGGCTGACTTCCTGCCCCGGATGGAGGAAACTAAGTGGGAGGTGCGGGCAGGCGGCGTGGGCTTTCCCCCTCTGAGTCGCCTCCCTTCTGCCCCTCGGGAGAAACCCGTAGCTGTGGCCCCGCCGTCACAGGGGAGTGAAGGGGAGGAGGAAAGACGATTAGGAATGTCCGTGGGCACCGGAGCGGGCCCAGGGCTGTGTGAGATGAGCCACGTATGGCATTCCTGCGTGGCCCGTGAGCCCACCCTGTGTCCCGGCATGCGGCGCGCCTCTGGGGCCGGATGTGGTGGCCGTGGTGCCCGTCAGCAGGGCTCTGCCTTGACCCCGGCCCTCCTCCCCTCTGCCCCTGCCCAGGTGTGCCAGAAGGCCGGGGAGATCTCCCTCCTGAAGCAGCAGCTGAAGGACTCGCAGGCCGACGTGTCCCAGAAGCTGAGCGAGATCGTGGGGCTGCGCTCGCAGCTGCGCGAGGGCCGGGCCTCGCTGCGGGAGAAGGAGGAGCAGCTGCTCAGCCTGAGGGACTCCTTCGGCAGCAAGCAGGCCAGCCTGGAGCTGGGCGAGGCCGAGCTGCCCACGGCCTGCCTCAAACCCGCGCTGACCCCCGTGGACCCGGCGGAGCCCCAGGATGCCCTGGCCACGTGCGAGAGCGACGAGGCCAAGATGCGCCGGCAGGCCGGGGTGGCCGCTGCCGCCTCGTTGGTCTCCTTGGACGGCGAGGCGGATGCGGGCGGGGAGAGCGGGACGCGGGCCCTGCGGCGGGAGGTGGGGCGGCTGCAGGCCGAGCTGGCGGCCGAGCGGCGAGCCCGGGAGCGCCAGGGAGCCAGCTTCGCGGAGGAGCGCCGCGTGTGGCTGGAGGAGAAGGAGAAGGTCATCGAGTACCAGAAGCAGCTGCAGTTGAGTTACGTGGAGATGTACCAGCGCAACCAGCAGCTGGAGCGGCGGCTGCGGGAGCGCGGGGCCGCCGGGGGTGCCAGCACACCCACCCCGCCGCACGGGGAGGAGAAGAAAGCCTGGACGCCCTCCCGCCTTGAGCGCATTGAGTCCACGGAAATCTGATCCCCTCCCCCCCGCCCCCACCTGGGCATGTGGCCTTTTGACAAATGCCCTGTCAAAGGCCAGAGTCCCCAGTGTCCCCTCCCTGCCTTCTCTCTTCCCCATGTCCCCCATGTCCCCAGACCAAAGAGGTTCTCCAAGCAGCTGTGACCAGGCCCCTCCCCTCCCCCCACTGGGGGCCCTCCGGGCTCTGCGGCTGGGCGACCCACTCGGCCCCTCCTCCCATGGAGGGGATAGAGGGAGGCAGAATGAGTGGGGGTTGAGGGGCCCAGGCAGCAGGGGAGCCCATGCTCCCCTTGGCACTGCTTTGTTGGAGATGGAGATAGCAGGCTTGCAGTGCCATGAGGTGCCCTGGCCCCTTGGTAGGTCTGGGCTGCTACTGTTGGCCACCTAGGTGTCCAGTGATGCTCTCTGTGGTGGTCACCTCCTAGGCCATGTAGCCTGAGAGGGCCTGCATGGGATCTGCTGAAGCTGACAGACCTTGGGCTCCTGGCCTCTCTCCTTCCTGCTCTATTATCCCTCCCTGGGCAGATTGGCAGGACAAGTGGGAGCGGATGGCCTGTCTGTGGTTGAGAGGGCTACCTGCCCAGCCCCTCCCCCCCAAGGTCCCTTGAGCTTAGGCCTCAGAGCCTGGCCTGGTCCTGGGTGTATGTCCGAATGTGCGTATCAGGCCGGAGGGGAGGCTGGGGCGGAGGCTCCGTGCCCAGGGAAGATCTGCCCCTCTGTACTTGGGAAAGTTCACCTGGATGCTTCTTAGCTCCACCCTACCCTTCTGGCCAGGATCCCACAGGGTGATAGCCCCATCTGCTTGGCTCACCCCACACCCAGGGCCACTGTCCGGCTCAAACTACAGCTATTAAGTGCTACCTGCCTCTCAGGCACTCCCCTCACCCAGTTTCCGAGGTCACTTGAGTGTCTGTGGTGTCTTCCTGGGTCTTCTCCCACCTGATTCCCCCGGCCTCCCTCTGCTTTCACGCTCACAACATCATTGTCCTAGGCTGCCTCTTCCCCCAAACCTCACCTCTTCTTCCAGTAGAAAATTCTGCTTGATCTTTGGTGCACTGCCCACTTCCAAGCTCCAATGGGCCCAAGCCTGAGCCAGAGGCCTTTGTTTTGGGGGGCGAAGGGGACGGTTGTGATTGCCCTTGAAGGACAAGGCTGACCTGAGAGGAACACTGACCCCTGAGTTCCCAGGACCCCGGGTTTGCCCAGGCTAGGCCTGGCATGGCCATCAGTGGGGGCTGGGACAGCAATGTCACTTCCCTCCTCTCGGTATCATCTCAGAGTCTGTCTCCGTAAGATAGGAAGGGAAAGGCAAATTTCTAATTCACCAGCAATAAAACATTAGAGGAGGCTTGGCCCTCAACCCTTATATTTCTCTCTTTTCACTCTCTTCCTCCCACCCGCAAGACTGGGTTCGGAGGGGAGGGTGGAGAGAGCTGGCAACTACTGTGAGCAAGTTCCCCACCCCCTGACCAGCCTCCTCCCATGACTGGTGACTGTTTAATGAGCTGTGCGTCCCCCACAAAAACAAGAGCGCCCCTCTGTGTGGCCTCTGTCCCTCTGCACAGCCCCTTCCCGGTGACCCTCACCAGCTCTCTGAACCGGGTGAGGGAGCCATCCTGGTAATCACTGCCCGTTCCACTCACCCCTCACTGCACCTGCCCCAGAACCTGGGCTTAGGCCAGAGGGGCAGGGGGAAGAGAAGGCATTAGTAGGAAAAAAAAAAAAAAAAATAGAAAAAAAATATGAACAGACTCAGCTTTGAGACTTCCAACCACAAAAGAAATTATATATAAATATATATAAATATATATATCTACCATATGTGATGGAAAGACTTCGTTTTCTTTTCCCAAAGAAATAAAATGGAGAAAGCCTCTTGGGTGGCATTCTTTGGCCTGCTTGTGTCTTTGCAGGTTTGGGAGGTGAAGCCTGGGTAAGGGGGGTGTGGAGGGCAAAGCTGGAGTAAACATTTCCCAGAGGAGGCCCAAGACCGGAGGTGCTCACTGGCCCGTGCCAGAAGGTTGGCCCAAAGCCCAAGCGCCTCCCCGTTGTCCAGGAGTCGTCGTCGTCGTTCCAAGTTTCTGCCCGTGGCTTTCTCTTCTGCTAGCATCGTCACCCTGAAGGGTTTCTAGGTGGTTCCAACTCAGCATCTGGACACCAGGCTGCTGCTTGGATGGTGGGTGATGCAGGACAGCTAGATGCGGGTGTCCTGAGCCACGTTCTAGCAACTGCCCAATGTTTGAGGGCAGAATACAAAAACATGAAGGCTGCGAACAGACTTGTAATTAGTGGTGAGGCCCCGAAGACAGAATGGACCCAAGAGTGCTGCAAGCATGGAGCTGCCCTTTGGGGGTAAGTGCTGTCCTTTAGATAATTGCTTCTGTCATCTTTACAGAGCCCCCCCACCCCCGTCAAGAATGCCTCCCGCTGCAAGTAACAACTTCATTTACAAGACTTTAAAGAGTGGTTTATTTTTCCTTATCTGACAATTCTGGTCACAAGCATCCTATCATAGGTATTGTTTCAAGGACGTAAGACTTAATGTTCCTATTCTCCCATCCATAGTATGTAGTCTCCTCTGTGCCACAAAGTGGCTGCCACAGCTCCACGAAGGGATTGAGGCAGCACTACTTTATCATGAAGGTAAAAACTTTCCCAGAATCCTGCCAGTAAGTTTCCCTTTAAATGTTGTTGGGCAGAACTGAGTGGCATCCTCTTCTCACTTCAAGGGAGGCTGGGATATTGAGTATTTGGCAAAGAAGAACAGGACCATCATAGCTGCATAGGAGCAATCGGGTTCATCCCTGGGGATGGGCCCTCTGCTCTTTTTGGGTTCTTCTGGCAAAGAGAGTCATAATCAGCAAGAAGGAATGTTTGCTCTGGTCTGGCCCAAGTGAGAAAATCAGGCAAACAGTGCCCTCTGCAGAGCCCTGGAGTTGAGACGCCAGGCTTGCCCCTCCTTGCAGTGAAGGTTCTCCGCTGCATTGGTTTTTGTCTCCCGGACAAGATGGTGCCCTGGAGGGAAAGTCAGTTCTGAAGTCTCCTTCACAGCACTTAGGATAGGTGGACCAGCAACCAAGGCACTGACAAGGTATGACAAACCAAACCAGCAGTGCTCAAGTTTCCCCCAGAACAGTAGTGTTGGCTCAGGCCCTCTTGGAGGGTCTCTTCCTTGCCTAGGTACTGATAGCAGCTCGGGTGGTGAGCCCCTCTACTTAGGGAGGTGAAGGGTGACCCTGGCCTCATCCACCATGGATAGCACTGGTCTCTTCCAGCTCCGGCTCCTCATATCCATTTCTCCTAACAGGCTCGGCTATTCATCACTAACTCTTCTCCTGAGGGCATTTCCCAGATGCATCTCGAGTAGTGATGACTACCGTCACCAACAGATGAGAAACTAGGCTTAGACAGTTACGTGATTTCTTTAAGGCTACAAAACCCTGAGTGGCGGGCTGGGATTCGAACCTGTATCTACGCTATTTAGCAACTTCCAGAGCGGTCCATCCACGGCGCTGTTTCCGCTCCGCCGGTCCCAGACTCCCCTCGGCCTCTCGCAAAGTCCTACAATGGAAAACGTCCTTGGAAAACGCTGACAGAGCCTTTTGAGCCTCGGCCGCACCCGTCACCGGCGCAGCAGGCGGAAGTAGCGGGCAGTCGGCCGGAAGTGGGGCTGTGAGGTCCGGGTGGTGCTGGTGCGGCGGTGGTGGCGCGGCAGCTCGCGGGAACCAGGGTCTGGTGTTGCGGCGCCCGTGTTCGCCAGGCTCAGGTGAGTGGCGGCGGCCGCGGATGAGGTCTCGGCGGCCGCTCCCTGTCCACCTGGGCCTTGGTGCGCCTCTCGCGTCCTGGGCGGCGCAGGACCGGGCTCTTCCGGGCCTGGGCCGCGGTCTCCCCTCGCAGGCCCGCTTTAGGCAGAATGTCGGCGACCCCGCCACCCCAGAGTTCCGTGACCTTGGGCAAACGGTTCATGTGCATCTTGACTTTTCCACTGTGAGACGGCGACGGTAACTGCCTGCCCCCCCCCCCCCCCCAGGGCTGTTGTGGGAATCCATTGAGGTGTTTTGCGGCACTTTTCGTTCCCACACTGAACACGTGCATGCGAATCACTCGGGGCTCCGGAGCGTGAGTCTGTAGGTCTGGGGTAAGGTTCCAGATTATGCCTTCCTGACCAGCTTCCCGGTGAGGCCGATGCCGCTGGTCCGCAGCCCCCTCCGGTGCTTTGCTTAGTACCTGGGTCAACTTGAGCCTTCAGTAAATACCGATAGGGTGTGTAGCTTGTCCCCATTTTTAACAGACATTTCTAGTTGCACAAACCTAAGGGTATTATTGATGTCTTTCTCCGTTTTCTCTCCAGAGGTAAGAAAAATAATCGCCCATTCCATTTCCGTACAAATCATGACACAGCTCTTCTGTCCTGACTCAGGGAGCTTTGGGCCCGCTTTAAACCAGTGAAACTCATCCTCTTCCTCAGGTTATGCTTCATTGCTCACTCTCGTACACCCTTGGACAGTGAGTGTTTCACCCTATGGAGCTGGCAGCCAAGTGCCTTAGCACCAGCGTGTCTGGTGTTCTGTACTCTAGGCATTTGTTGCCGCTGGAATGTGAATTTCTGTTTTCCGCACTTTGCTCACACTTGGTGAGTAGGAAGAAAGCCGCCTTTCCAGAACTAGATTCTACAACTCACTGGTCCAAGTGGCCTCAGGCACGCTCTGGCATGAATTCCCTACTGCCTAGTAGACCGGAATAAAATCTGGAGACTCGGTGTTGCGTAACACAGCAGAGGAGGTGAGGCCTTTGGGAGTTGTGCAGGTCTAGTTTGTTTGACGGTATGGTCTTCTTCCCCATCCGTTGCTTTGGCAGCCCTTTAGTTCCATTCACATGGGCTGAGAGGACCTGAGTGTCTGCTCTCTGTTGTTATACCCAGAGATTTTCTTTTCTTTTTTCTTTTCTTTTCTTTTCTTTTTCTTTCTCTTTCTCTTTCTCTTTTTCTTTTTCTTTTGAGTTGGGGGAGAGAGAGAGAATCTCAGGCAGGCTTCGAGCCCAAGGCTGAGCCCAAGGCACGGGGCTTGATCTCACCCTGGTGAGATCATGACCTGAGCTGAAACCAAGAGTCGAACATTTAACCCCCTGAACTACCACCCAGGTGCCCCATATACCCAGAGATTTTCTAAAGACAGAGTGTCATGAATCCTTTAATAAGAGCAGTGGTTCTGACAGTCCCCTATGGGGCCTTGTCAGACGGTATTCACTCAGGCCCTTCTTGCCATTCTGATAGAGGAATAGCAGTCCTAGAGAGAGAGGGAGGCTGTATAAACTAAAAAAAAGTTTCGCAGATAATTGCGATGGACTGTTTTCTCTAATAAAGAATGGAAACTAGAACGAAATGAAGGGGATGGGCTGTTAGATTTGGTTTTGGTTTCGCTTAACTCTGGGTGATGCTTATATTGGCCTAACCACCTTAGCACTAGTGCTTGAGCGTAGTAGTAGTGGTGGGGGTGGTGGTAGTAGTAGTGGTAGTAGATCTCTCTCTTGTAGGCTCTGCTACAGTGTGGAAGCACAAAAGAGCCTAGCCCAGTTAGTATTTGCATTAACAGCTAAGGGTCCTTAGGTCAGACACTAAGCCCTCACCAGGAGCATTAACCTTTGTAGACTCTCGACACCTCAAGAAAGTTAACTTTTGTTTTTTTTAATTCTCGGGGTTGCTCAACAAATTATTTGCTAAGACAAGAAGAGTTTGAAGTATTTATTTGTGGCAATTCTATCAGGACAGAGGAGGGTTAAACTTTTTTAGCAAAAGGCTGGAAATCAGAATTAAGAGAAGAGATCCAGTAACTGGCGACTTAAATATGCTGAGAGTGTTATATACTTAATCTACAGTTAGCATGGCTGTCTGCCTCCTCCTGGCTCCCTTCCTCTAACTTCTGGACTGTAGTTTAAAATGAAGCTATTCGGCCTTGCTCAGACCTGTACCTGGAAGGTGGAAAGGTAAGATTCCTCACTCCTGTGAATTTATATCATTCAGGGTGGTTAGACAGAGCCAGGGGTCTCTGAGGCGCCATTCTGGTTCGTTAGGACCCCTAATGAGAGCTGGGGAAGAGGATGTACTGTGGCACGTAAACTAGGAAAGGAGCTTTGTGCTGATGTCACATGTCTTTGAACCTTTAGAGAACGTGTCAGGAGTTATTGATCGGGCATCTGTCTCATATTGTTCCCTTTCCAGCTTTTTTATGGATTCTCGGGGGAGTCCTTAAGTGAGGAGGAGCCAGCTCTCTCGGTGTGTTTTCTCTACACAGGCTTCACATCCTGACAGCCTCTCCTTCGCAGTGCCTTTTCTCCTCACTGTTTTGCTTTATTGGTTCTATAGCTTCCCTGTGTTTCTTTCCTTTTCTTCCCCACAGTACTCAAGACCAGACTTCCGAAGTGATTATATTTCAGATATATATTTGTAGATATGGTGTCTATACAGTTATTCGAAAACTTGCATGGTGAAAAAGTAAGTAGCTACTATTTGCCATTCGTCATTGGCTTGTCATGCCTCTACGATTCTTTGTCATCATTTCTGTTACTGGACATCCATAAAGAAGTTCTAGGGGCACCTGGGTGGCCCAGTCGATTAAGTGTCCGGACTCTTGATTTTGGTTCAGGTCATGATCTCATGGTTTGTGGGTTCTAGCCCTGCATCAGGTTGTGCGCTGACAGCATGGAGCCTGCTTGGAATTCTCTGTCTCTCTCTCTCTCTCTGCCCCTCCTGGCTTGCTCTGTCTCTCAAAAATAAGTAAACATTTAAAAAAAAAAAAAAAAATTTCTATAGGCAGTAGGAATTACATGGACTAGAAAAGCTTTTCAACATTTTCCTTGAAACTTAAGGTTACTTTCTTTGAATACTGATTGTCTTCTTGAAGAATAACTTAATTTCCTGTTAGTACATGTATTTTGCGGATTTAATTTTTGTCAAACTTGTACATGATTTACACAGTGAAATAGTTTGATGGACTTATAACACTAAATATTAATTTCCTTTCTTTCTCCCTCCATTTTTTTAGGGTGATCTGTGATCAGTGATTATGTCTCACTGAAAGCTCAGATGCTTAGCATTTTTTAGCAATAAAGTATTTTATCATTAAGATAGGGGTGTTTTTAGATATAGTGCTATTGCACACTTGATGGACTACGGTATGTTGTAACATAGCTTTTCTGTGCACCCGGAAACCAGAAAATTCCTTTGGCTCACTTTATTGTTGATGCTCACTTTATTGCAGTGGTCTGGAACTGAGTAACACTGTGTCGATGTAACACCTTTATTAGAGGTGAGAGGGGCTTTTGAGTTCACCCAGTTCAAACCTTCCAGCTCCCTGGCATCTGGAAACCCTGTAGATTGAGGGGTCCTTCCCACGTCTTTGACCAGAATTTGACTCTTCCTGTCTAGAGTGCACCAGCAGCATGGGTTTGGAATCTGAGAATCTTTGGTGGGAGACCCCACTCCATCCCTTAGCTGTGTAACCTTCAGCAGGTGTCTTAATCGTGTGAAGTCTCCTTTTCCTCATCCACAACATGGAGATCCTAAAGCCTACTTTACAGAGAGGTTTGTAAAGATTGAAACTAATGCAGATAAAACAGCTCACCCAAGGCTCGGCACAGAGGAGGCCCTAAGATCATTGGGGCTGATGTGTTTTTTTCCCTCTTGGGACTTAACCTGTAATGTTTCAGATCAAAAAGAACCACGTTAATTTAAAATGCAGAATTTCCACCACTCGAACATTAACGTCTGAGGGAATGGTTCTTTTTTCATTTGAGGAGCATGCCCAGTAATTTTATTCATTAAGTACTCTTAGGTAGTGTTAATTGAAGTAATTTAGGTCATTTAATGTGCTTTTGTTTATTTTCTTATTTTTAAATGTTTATTTTTGAGAGAGAGAGTGCGTGTTTGCGGGGGAGAGGCAGAGAGATGGAAACAGAGAATCCCAAGCAGGCTCCACGCTGTCAGTGCAGAGCCACATATAGGGCTCGAACTTCTGAACCATGAGATCATGATCTGAGCCAAAATCAAGAGCCCTGTTGAGCTACCAAGGTGCCCCTAATGTGCTTTTAAAATTATATTATCTGGGGCGCCTGGGTGGCTCAGTCGGGTAAAAAGTGTCTGACTTCAGCCCAGGACATGATCTCACGGTTCATGGGTTTGAGCCCTGTGTCAGGCTCTGTGCTGACAGCTCAGAACCTGGATCCTGCTTCAGATTCTGTGTCTTCCCCTTTCTCTGTCCCTCCCCTGCTCATGCTCTGTCTCTCTTCCTCTCAAAAATAAACATTAAAAAAATTTTTTTAATAAAAAATAAAATAATATTATTTATTGGGATGCCTGGGAGACTTAGTCGGTTCAGTGTCCGACTCTTGATTTCGGCTCAGGTCATGATTGCAGGGTTGTGGGATGGAGCCCCATGACAGGCTCTGCACTGAATTTGGAGCCTGCTTGGAATTCTCTCTGTCCCTCTTCCGTGTGCACACTCTCGCTCTCTCAAATAAAAATAAAATAAAAGTATTATTTATAAAGGTATTTGTTAAATTAATTCATATATTCTTTTTTATTAAAAAAATTTTTTTTAATGTTTTATTTACTTCTGAGAGAGAGACAGCATGAGCAGGGGAGGGTCAGAGAGAGAGGGAGACACAGAATCTGTAATCGGTTCCAGGCTCTGAGCTGTCATTACAGAGCCCGACGCGGGGATCGAACCCACGAACCGTGAGATCATGACCTGAGCCAAAGTCAGACGCTTAACTGACTGAGCCACCCAGGCGTCCCAATTCATATATTCTTCTGTATTAACAGTTTCAGTGCCAATAAAAAAAGTTAATTTATCAGAGATATAATGGAAAGTCTTCCCCACAAAGAAGATACATAGTTACTTTCCTTTCATATAAGTATATTTTACATGATGGCACTCATTTGTGTTTGTTCAACCGAATATGTGTATGTGCTTTTTCTCGTGTTGATGCTTGCCACACACTTATCCTGTAACCCCCTCCCCTCCTTCTGGATGGACAATTGGATTGTTTTCAGTTTTTTGCTTTTTTTCTAAGATTTTATTTTTAAGTAATCTATACCCAGTGCGGGGCTTGAACTTAAAACCCCAACATTTGAATTGCATACTCTGCCAACTAAGCTAGCCAGGCACCCCAATTGTTTGCTTTAGGGTACCACAATTATTTGGTAAAAAAAAAAAAAAAAAAGTTTTGTCTTTTTTTTCCCCCAGTTATTTCTTCCAAACTAGTTCCCAAGGTGAGATGAAGCTCTACAGATTTGAACAGTTAGTTGAGCCATCCCGCTCTTGATTTTGGCTCAGGTCATGATCCCAGGGTCGTGAAATTGAGCCCCGTATCAGGCTCTGCTCTGAGCATGATGCCTCATTGAGATTTTCTGTCTCTGTCTCTCTCTTTCTCCCCTCTGCTCTCTCGCCCTCTATTAAAAAATAAATTAATTAAAACAAAACAAAACAAAAAAAACAACCCGAACAGGTGGAAGGGTAGATTTGGGCTCCTGGACCATAGTTTGCTGACACCTGGTCTTTAATAACATCTGGACCCATAGATTGAAACTTGGTAGACAGAATGGTCCACAAGGCTATAGTAAAGAAGTAAGCGTATAAAGATTTAATGTAAAAGAATTCTACTCTGGTTCACAAAGAAATCAGAGCACACATTCCTACCATCCAGAGAAGGCTGTGGAGCTAGACTGCCCTTACAAAGCCACTGGCCTGCCCCGTGGTCTTCTAGTTCTCATGCTATGGGCTCTGGAAGGAAGAGGTTGACAGGGGAGTTGGACAGGTATTTCAGAAAGTCACCCTTGCACCCTCAGAATCCGCAAGGGATTCTGTGCAGCCAACAACCCTGTCAAGTCCACATCTTGGCATCTCAGGGCTTACTGGGCTTTGCCTGCCAGGCATTGACATTTATCAAGTGGAAGGAAAGCTAAACACCTTTAAAGAAAGCAAGAGTATAGCAGAGCCCGTTTCAGAGGCTCTCCTGGTTTCTACCATGGGGGAAAGTGGGACCTGCACTGCTCAGAGGCAGGATCGGCAGCACCCAACTTACTGGCAGCATTGCTAATCGGCTGTCTCCGGAGGAAAGCCATGCCGCTCCCCTTCCATGTCAGCAGGGCCGGCGTGCGAGTTGGTGTTTCCTGAACCATGAGCCCAGCTTTGAGATGCTTTTTCTTCCCACCCAGGAATGGACAGCAGAGCCTCAGCCTACTGCCTTCTCCCACCAAAATGAGTTTTTGAGTATACGTCCTAACTGCCTGACTCTCTGCGGTAGTGGTTCAAAGTCTGTGATAAGTCTCCTGGACAGGAGGCTACCCATCTTCTGACAGGTGCGGGGGCAGCATTAGAAAACAGTTCAGTAAGGTGCAGGAGATGGGCATTAAAAAACAATTCTGTAATCGAAAGTTTTATACTTTAAGAATGAGGGGGGTTTGGGTCAGTTAAGCGTCCGACTTCAGCTCAGGTCATGATCTCATGGTTCGTGGATTCGAGCCCCGTGTTGGGCCCTGTGCTGACAGCTCCGAGCCTAGAGCCTGTTTCAGATTCTGTGTCTCCCTCTCTTTCTGACCCTCCCCTGCTCACGTTGTCTCTCTCTCTCAGAAATAAATAAAATATGAAAAATTTTTAAAAAAAAGAAGGGGGGGTTATTGTGGCTATAATTAATTAAACTTTACATGAAGTCCCACTTTTTATTTTTGGTGTTAGCACAACAAGTTTAACCAACTTTCTTATTCTCCAAGGGGGCCCTTTATGCATTGATATCAAGGAGAAGGAGCTTTTATCCTGGATGTATGCTGTCTTATCATTTGGGCATTCACTAGCGTTGAACTTACTTGAGTGGACAGCAGTGTAGTTTAATCCATTTCTTATAATGTGTAAATTCTGGTATTGTGATAGGTGGAAGCCACTTATTCTTCATCTACCCTTTTTTCAGTATCTGGCACCAATTCTGGCCCAGTCATTTGTGACCCATGGCCCTTGCGATATGCCGAAGATTTCCAGGTAGTTTCTGTGGAACGCCTCCCCGTCCAGCTCTAATCAAGCACCACGTAGACCAGAAATTGCCTGGACAGACCTGTAAGGACTGTGTCCTGACTGCCAGAACGATCAGTACTGACACCAGAACAGCACCCACTCTCAAGTCGTTAAAACCTTTAGGATATCGAGCGTTTTGCAGTCCTTTCGCCTGCAGCACAGCCCGAAGTGTGACATATTGGAACGTGGGAAGCTACGCACGGCCGAGGGGATGGGACCCACCAGAAGACAGCGGCCTCTGCCATCCTGCCAAAAAAGTTGAGCACATTCGTAGCATTTCCGCCTCCCAGAGGAGCCTGACGACCAGCAGTGCCCTCCCAGGTTTGGAATGCAGCAGGGCTTCTGCCTCTAAGGCCAGCGCATTGAAGCCGGGCTCACGCAGGGCTGCGGGAGTTGTTGAAGAGGATATAGAAGTTTTTGATTCCTTCGAAGACCCCCGAGGTTTCCTCCTGCTAAGACCAGAGTACCAGCTTCACAGCTATAACAGATCTGAGCCTTGTCAGCCCCTGTCTGTTTCAGAAGGTGAATTAATTTTGCACAAAGTCACAATTCATCAAGATACTCTCCAGCCCCAAGTCATTGCTGATTATTTCTGTAAGCTGAGCTCTTTGCCTGCAGAGCAGCATCCGGTTTTGCTGTCCAGTGCCAGCTTTGCTTCACTCTGCCAGCTGAGTGTGAAACATATACAGCTCTTTGATGTCCCAGATCTGATCAGTATTTTGAAAGCGTTTGTCAGTTTGGGAATGCCTCACTCCCATTCGATGCTAGATGTGTATGAAATCAGATTTTGCAGTAAGGTGTGGGAGATGAGTCTGGATCAGCTTCTCTTGGTGGCTGATCTCTGGCGATACTTGGGCCGCAGGGTACCTCGGTTTTTTAAAATCTTTTTTAGTTACCTTAACTTGCATTGGAAAGATCTATCCTTGTCCCAGCTGATTCACTTAATTTATATTATAGGGGAAAATCGCCAGGTACCCCAAGACCTAATGCAAAAACTGGAATCACTGATTCTCAAGTACATAGATGTGATCAACTTAGAGGAGGTTGGTACAATCTGTTTGGGGTTCTTTAAATCAAGTAGTAGTCTCTCTGAATATGTTATGCGGAAAATTGGAGACTTGGCTTGTGCTGACATGCAGCATCTGAGCAGTTACGCCTTAGTGAATATTCTTAAAATGTTCCGTTTCACTCACGTGGATCACGTAAATTTCATGAAGCAATTTGGTGAGATTGCTCCTCAGCGAATTCCTTTTCTAGGAGTTCAGGGTGTCATGCACCTGACTCTTGCTTGCTCGGCCTTACGCATCCTGGATGAAGGGATAATGAATGCCGTGGCTGCTTCTTTGCCTCCAAGGGTGGCATACTGCCGAAGTAAAGATGTTGCCAAGATTCTGTGGTCCTTTGGAACTCTGAATTACAAGCCACCCAATACGGAAGAGTTTTATTCTAGCCTGATAAATGAGATTCACAGAAAGATGCCTGAGTTCAATCGATACCCAGAACACCTGCTCACCTGCCTGCTGGGCCTGGCATTTTCTGAGTACTTTCCATTAGAGCTCATCAATTTTGCCTTGAGTCCAGGGTTCGTCAAGTTAGCTCGGGAGAGGAGTAAGTTTGAACTCATTAAGGAGCTATATACTCTTGATGGTACAGTTGGCATCGAGTGTCCAGATTACAGAGGCAATCGTCTTAGTGCTCACCTTCAGCACGAGGGAGCGGAAATGCTGTGGAATTTAGCAAGGAAGGATATGTGCTCAAAGCCTGAATTCCTGGAGGCTCTCTTTTTACTCGAGAACATGTTGGGGGGCCCTCAGTACATCAAGCACCGTATGATTCTGCCTCATACCCGATCTTCTGACTTAGAGGTCCAGCTTGATGTTAACATGAAGCCATTGCCCTTTAACAAAGAAGCCATACCAATTAAAGATGAAGCCAAATTAAGGCTGAAGCATGTGGGAGTCAGCATTACAGATGATTTGATGAGTCAGCTACTAAAAGGGAAATCAAGAGAACATTTCCAGGGAGAAGTTGCATCAGAGACCCAACAGCGGGAAAGGGAATTAGAGAGTACAGACATACCTTTGGGGAGCTCCCTTTGCAATGTGGCGGACAGATTGGGGGCCATGGAGATGGCTGGCCCTTGTCCCCCAGCTTGCACACAGGCCCCACAAGTGAAGCTGGCTATCCAGTTGACAAATAAAAACCAGTACTGCTATGGTTCCAGGGATCTGCTTGGACTGCACAATATGAAGAGGCGGCAGTTGAGTCGGCTTGGGTACCGCGTGGTAGAGTTATCCCACTGGGAATGGCTCCCACTATTGAAACGAACCCGCTTAGAAAAGCTGATGTTCCTCCATGAGAAAGTGTTCACCTCTGCTCTCTGAAGGGCTTGAATTCAGGGACACTGTGACTCGTAACTGCGGTAGAGGTATGCTGTGCAAGGTGTTGGGAAACAGTTACACAAGCCAGAATATAGGTTTGGTAATGAAATCCTCTTTTGAGGAGACTTAGTTGTGCTCTTATTTATGGCAGAGCGAAGTCACTGTGTGTGTTACTGTGAATTAGTTGTAACCTGGCGCCATTGTACATGTCGTTGCTACTTTGTGCAGGTAACTAATAAACATCTTAAAATTCCCTATTTTCAAGTAATTCCTGTCCTATTCTTCCTTTGTGTACTGACCTTATCTCACGATTATTTTGAATTTTTAAGATAAAAGGGTAGTCAGACATTGTCAAAGCCAATTTATAAAAAACGATTTTCATAATACTTTAAGAGTCTTTTGGGGTGCTTGGGTGGCTCAGTTGGTGAAGGATCCATTTTCGACTCAGGTCATGATCTCACAGCTCATGAGTTCAAGCTCCACATCGGGCTCTGTGCTAACAGCTCAGAGCCTGGAGCCTGTTTCAGATTCTGGGTCTCCTCTCTCTGCCCCCTCCCTGCTTGTATTCTCTCTCTCTCAAAAGTAAATAACATTTTAAAAAATAAGGATCTTTTACAGCTTCATTTACATATCAGGATTCCTCCCCCCATGCATGTTTTCTTCACACCCTTTAAAATTAAAGTCTCATTCTCCTTTAGATTTGGTTGGTTGTCCTTAGTTGCTGGTTCTTCCTGTTTTAAATAGCCATTTCAGAATTAGTATAATGTCATTCTCTTAGCCCCCCTCTTCTGTATTTCCACTTCTCTTGTATAAGTTCTCCCCCCCCCCCCCCACTTCCCCTGGGATATTTTCTCTCTAAAATTGGACTTAGAATTAAATGATTGCCTGTTGGGCCAACGATTCCCAAATCCAGTGACGTGGTAGAGTGTTGTTCGTGACAAGTAACTCAGACAAGGAGAAAGTAGGTGCATTACCTCCCATGGTAGGAAGTCTAATGGGCTTCAGGTTTGGCTGCATTAGAGTTGCAAGCATAAAGGGCTGGTATACATGGATTCTATATATTTGTATGCAACTTAATACAAGTAACCTTTGTAAACATTTGGGATCTGTTAGAATTAAAAAAAAAAAAAAAAGTATCCCTCTCCCCGTTGTTTAGGCCTTCTCTCAAAGACCCCTTCCCTGCCCTTGCTAAAACAGTGGCACTTGTGCTGTCACCTTCAGATTCATTTTCCTCACTGCACTCTGCAGCATCAGAAATTATTCTTTATCTGTTCACTTACTATTTTCCCTGTTGGAAGCTAGCCCTTTGAGTTAACTTTGGCTACTTAACTAATTTGTCTCCAGTGCCTAGAATGGGTCCTGGCGCAGATATGATAATGGTTAGTGAGTATGGTTGGGAAATTTAGAGTGGCTGGGGAGTTGGGGTGGAAAGAAGGCGGGGGGTGGGGGGCCGCTAGAGGGGTAGAGCAGATCTGGGTCACAACGTAGGGCATTGCTAAAGAGCCTAAGTCTACAGAGGCTGTGGTGTTTTTTTGTTTTTGTTTTTTTTTTTAAAGGAGTTTAAGTCAGCACAGTTGGGCAGATTCATGTTTTAGAACGGTTAGGTTAAAATAATAAAACGCGATTGGGGGTGGGGGGCTGCATGAGATAGGAGGAATATTTCACAAATGTGTGCAACAGCTCATGTGAGAGATAATGCAGGCCAGAACTACAGAAATGGAAGGTCTGAGTTTCAGAGGTGTTTGGAAGGAGAAAAAGGCATGACTTGCTAATTGGTTGGGTTAGGGAATGATGATTTTGGTGCCTACATTGACATGGAATCAGCAACTAAAATTGGAACCAAAGCAGGAAAGGTGTTTGGATAGAGGGTTAACCTGCACTGTTCCTGCTAAGAGGAGCCTCCAGGCAGAAATAATCCAGGCTGGGGTCTCAAATGGGGATGAGGACAGGTGGCTATCAGAACCACAAGTGAGTGAACTTGCCTGGGACAGGTGGGAAGGAGGTTATTGCATGTTTGGCAGCAGGGGAGAGAAGATAACCAAGAATAGAATGCTGGCATTTATAGGGAGGGCCAAGTAAAGGGGACCCAGTGGTAAAGAGAGCAAAATAAGAGATAATCAGATCTAGGGAAAAACGATAGCATGGAAGTTTGTCAGGGGTCCCAAAACCACCCTCACTAGAAGGATTCACAGAACTCAGGAAAGCTGTTATATTCAGAATGAAAGTCTACAGATGAAAATCAACAAGGGAAAAAGGCACGTAGTGTGGAGTCTGGGAGACCAGGCACAAGCTTCCAGTTGTCCTCTTGCAGCGGAGCCGTGTAGGCGGCTCTTCATCCCAGCAATGATGTTTGCCAACATTTACTGATACTGCCGATCAGGGGACCTCACCTGAGCCTGTGCAGGGTTTTTAATGGGGGGGGGGGGGTCTGTCATGTAGGCATGGAGTGCCCACGCGGCGTACCTTATTCAGTTCCCCTCCCTCTCAGAGGGCCAACTGATATAGCAGGGCCCAAGGCTTCCACTATTGGTATCATAAACTGGTGTGGCCCAAGGTCTCAGTTGTATGCAGACAGTCTTAATAGGAAGGATGTTCAAAGGGCTCAGAGATTATCTCTTAAGGAGCTGGTAAAGGGCCAGTGTTTTTGGAATGTGTTTTTTGAACAGCCAAAACAGTTAACAGCCAAAGGTTAACAGCTGAGTTAACCTTTTGTTGCACAGAAGCCAAAGGGAAAGGAGAATATTGCAAAAAGGAGACAATTTGCACCTATTAGTTCCTGGGGAGAGAGCAGTTAAGGCAAGACCCAGAAATCTTTAGTAAATTTGGCAATGTGGACGGTCACCAATGGCATTAACAGTAGCAGTTTGAATTGGATCGTCAGGGCCAAAGCCAGACATACCTGTTGAATATTGAGAGTTAAGGAATGGGTTGCAAATGTTGAAGCAACTCCTTGAGAACTTTTGAGAAGGGGAACCTTGAGCAGGATACAGAGTGGGACTGGGGTCACCAGACGAAACACAGAATCCCTAGTTAAATTTGAATTTCAGATAAGTAATGGATAATGTTTTGTGGTAAGATACAGATAAAATTGGCCGTTTTTTAAAAAAGTGTGCAATTCAGTGACGGTCCATTGATGGTGTTGTGTAACCAATCACCACTATCTAGTTCAAGAACATTTTTCACCCCAAAAGAAAACTCCATACCTTTAAGCAGTGACTCCACATCCCCACCCCCCGATCCCTAGACCTTGGCAACTACTAATCTGCTTTCTGTCTCTGTGGATATGCTTATTCTGGATATTTCCAAAAGTGGAATTATATAATATGCAACCTCTTGTGTGTAGCTTCCTTTGCTCAGTATAATGTTACCAAGATTTATGCACGTTATGGTGTGTGCCAGGACTTCATTACTTAGAGCCGAATAACAAACAGTCCATTGTGTGGATATGCCCTGTCTTGTTTATCCATTCATCAGTTGACTGACACTAGGTTTTTCCACTTTTTGGCTATTGTGAATGGTGCTGCTGTAAACATTCATGTGCATATTATCAGAGCACCTGTTTTCAGTACTTTGGGTATATACCTTAGAGTGAAATTGCTGAGTTATATGTTAATTCTCTGTTTACCTCATCGAGGAACTGCCAGACTTTTCCACAGTGGCTATACCATTTTACATTTCTAGCAGCAAGGTATTAGGGTTCCACTTTCTCCACATCTTTGCTAACGCTTGTTATTTTCTGTGTTTTATTTTTTTTATTTTATTTATTTTTGAGAGACAGTGCAGGTGGGGGAGGGACAGAGAGAAAGAGACAATCCGAAAGAGGCTCCAGGCCCTGAGCTGTCAGCAGAGCCCAATGTGGGGCTGGAACCCACAAACCAGAAGATCATGATTTGAGCTCAAGTCAGAGACCCAGCCGACTGAGCTACTCATATGCTTCTCTGTGTTTTATTTATTTATTTATTTTTATTTTTTAAATTTTTTTTAATGTTTTATTTATTTCTAGGAGAGAGAGAGAGATGGCGTGAGCAGGGGAGGGTCAGAGAGAGAGGGAGTCACAGACTGAAACAGGCTCCAGGCTCTGAGCTGGCAGTCAGCACAGAGCCCGACGCGGGGCTCGAACCTACGAACCGCGAGATCAAGACCTAAGCGAAAGTCGGACGCTTAACCGACTAAGCCACCCAGGCGCCCCTCTGTGTTTTATTTTTTAATAGCCATCCTAGTGATGAGTGTGAAGTGGTATCTCATTGTGGTTTTGATTTGTATTTCCCTAGTGACTAATGGTGCTTAGCATCTTTCTTTCTCTTTCTTTTTCTTTCTCTTTCTTTTCTTTCTTTCTCCATGCCCAGTGTGGGGCTTGAACTCACTACCCTGTGATGCTCTGTTGTCTGAGTCAGCCAAGTGCCCCTGGCATCTTTCGGTCTTAACAATACTGAGTCTCTAATCCGCGAACAGAGATGTCTTTCTATTTATTTAGGTTTTCTTCAATTTCTTTCAGCAATAGTTTGTAGTTTTCGGTGTAGAAGTCTTATACTCCTTAGTTACATTTATTCCTAAGTATTTTATTCTTTTTAATGCTACTGTAAATGGAATTTTTGTCTTAGCATCTTTATGAATTTACTGATTGCTAGTGTTTAGAAATATGAATGATTTATCCTGCATTTTTGCCTAATTCTTTTATTAGCTGTAACAGTTCTTGTGTGTGTGTTGATTCTTTAGGATTTTCTACATACAGGATCATATAATCTGTGGATAGAGTTTTGCTTCTTTCTACCCTTTTATTTTTCTTGTCTACTAGCGAGAGCATCTTATATGAAATTGAATAGAATTATTTCTGACCGGGGCACCTGGGTGGCTCAGTTGGTTAAGCGTCCGACTTCGCCTCAGGTCATAATCTCACGATTGGTGGGTTCGAGCCCCGCGCCTGGCTCTGTGCTCAGAGTCTGGATCCTGCTTCGGATTCTGTGTGTGTCTCTCTCTGCCCCTCCCCTGCTCATGCTCTGTCTCTCACTGTCTCAAAAATAAACATTAAAAAAAAAAAAAAGAAAAAGAATTGTTTCTGACCTTATGGGGAATTCTTTCAGTCTTTCACCATGGAACATATTAGCTGTGAGTTTTTCATGAATGCCCTTTGTTATGTTAAAGAAGTTTCTTTCTGCTGAGTGTGCAAAAATAATTTTTTAGCATATGGCACAATAATACATAGGACATTCTTATACTAAAAGAAAAATCCATTGTTTATCTATTTTCAGATTTAAGTGGACAGTTTTT